ACTAGATAGCCATGTGTTTCGAGTAATAAGTAAAATTTCTGTACCTGTCAGAAACGAAAAGAAAATTATAGACGAATCCTACACAAAAGAAAAAAAAGAAAAGAAAAAAAAAAGAGAAAGATCACAACTGACAACAACGTATCTCACCTTATTTTTCTTTCTCTTATCTTTTCTGTTCTTTTCTCTTTTATTCTATTTTCCCTTTTTTACTATTGACAGGTACCAGGTGTACCAGAGTGCTGCGCGTTTTTTATTGTCATTTTTTAATTGTATTTTGTTGGATATCACAAAATGATGAACGCAGGGCAAGTTGTATATTTGATTCAATTGACATAAAAGAAATATGCAGAACAGTATGATAATGTGAGAGGTCAAGAGGGTATACATAACCCAAGGGGAAAAAATCAAATGTTATTATGATCGCTTATGTTTACATTTAGAAAACAGCGCACAACGGTCATAGCCACAGTCCGTATTGGGTTACAGCTGCAAAATACTGACGGAGCAGCAGTGGGGGAATGAAACGCAGTGGAGAAACAGTGGGGCATTGAACCACAATTGAGAATGGGACAATAAACAGTAATAGACAAGCAGTGGGGGAATGAACCCCAATGAAGTGGGGCACAATGAACCGCAAAGGAGTGGCAGTGGGACAATGAACCCCACTGGTGAAGCAGTGACTTATCCGATAAGCGAAGAAGGGGACTTAGGGGACTTAGTCTGCGAGTGACAAATTTCGGTAACTTTATTTTAATATTATGACGTAATTGTCTTTCCGCACTTTAAAATTGACTGTCTCGATTAGTTTCCTTCTTGTTCTTCCATTCAATAGCATTTTCATATTTGTTTACTAATATTCCCTATCCTCTAGATTAACCAAAATCGACACTTCTGTTTAAGCTTGCGAAGCTATTTTTGTCACACTGAAGCTTGCAAAACAAACAGGAAAAATCATATTCAAGTGTTACCACAGATCTCAATGGGGGCAGCGCTACCTCCCTTTTAGTTACCTTGGTAGGAACGAAGACCCTTGACCAGGCATCTTAACGACTAGGTTTAGTTGAATTAGGGGCATGTGAATAACTTTGGTGGTTTTATTTGTCCGATGGAATAGAGTGATTTAAAGAGTGATATAAAGAGTGATATAAAGAGCTAAAGAGAGAGAGAGCGAGATAAAGAGCTAAAGAGAGAGAGAGCGAGATAAAGAGCGAGAGAGAGAAGCGAGATAAAGATTTCGATAAAGATGAGAGAGAGAGAGATGGTTTTATTTGTCCGATGGAATGCAGTGATATATTCGAGTACCGATTGTGATTTTTCTTTTGGTGGTTTTTGCCTACATTACTTATCACTTTCATTTACTCCCCAAATCCTTTTTTTTCGAAGGGGTGGGAAAGGCTCCAAAACTGATGATTTCTTGTATACTGAAGGTGGGAACAGTCAAACCCATATTACATTTTGCTCGAGTTAAAATAATTTTTGAAGTTTATTATCATGAAGGGGTTACCGGGGCAGCTGTGAACCGATGCGAGCGGGAAATGTGTGATGGAAGGTATGGATATAAACAAGGTTTTTCTACGAGCAAAAACGGAATCAAATGTGCCCGTAAGAGTGAACACAGTAGTAGGATTAGGAATGAAACGTGATAAACGCCCCGTAGAGTTTCGACTGTCACATCTCAAACACTATTAAAAAAATGTTATCCTTACAGTCCTACTTTAGAATACAGTACAGATTTAACTTTAACAGTCTGATATAAAAGAAACGTTATCTACAACTGATAAGGGTCCTTGGATAAAATTTCTGGATAAAGTTAAGCTTTTACCCGGCTGTGTGGTATGTAGTCACGTGATTATGATCAGAAAATCAAGGCAACTACTTTCTTCAATCACAAACGTTTAGATATACGTAAAAATACAGAAATAAGGTTTCAGAAACGTACATTAGAACTACAAAACACTTGAAATGCGTTGCTAGCCAGGCTAATACTGTCTAGGACAATTTTTACTTAAAGGAGAGAGAGAGAGAGAATAAAGAAGAGAGAGAGAGAGGAGAGAGAGAGAGAGAGAGAGAGAGAGGAGAGAGAGAGGAGAGAGAGAGAGAGAGATAAGAGAGAGAGAGAAGAGAGAGAGAGATAAAGAGAGAGAGAGATAAAGAGAGAGAGAGATAAGGAGAGAGAGAGATAGAAGAGAGAGAGAGATAAAGAGGAGAGAGAGATAAAGAGAGAGAGAGAAAAGGAGAGAGAGAGATAAGAGGAGAGAGATAAAGAGAGAGAGAGATAAGAGAGAGAGAGAGAGAGAGAGAGAGAGAGAGAGAGAGAGAGAGAGAGAGAGAGAGAGAGAGAGAGATAAAGAGCTAAAGAGCTAAGAGAGAGCGAGATAAAGAGCTAAAAGAGCTAAAGAGAGAGCGAGATAAAGAGCTAAAGAGCTAAAGAGAGAGCGAGATAAAGAGCTAAAGAGAGCAGATAAAGAGAGAGAGCTAAAGAGAGAGCAAGATAAAGAGAAAGAGAGAGAGGAGCGAGCTAAGAGCTAAGAGAGAGAGCGAGCTAAAGAGAGAGGCAGAGCTAAAGAGCTAAAGAAAGAGAGAGCGAGATAAAGAGCTAAAGAAAGAGGAGCGAGATAAAGAGCTAAAAGAGAGAGAGAGCGAGATTTAAAGAGCTAAAGAGAGAGAGAGCGAGATAAAGAGCTTAAAGAGAGAGAGAGCGAGATAAAGAGCTAAAAGAGAGAGAGAGAGAGATAAAGAGCTAAAGAAGAGAGAGAAGAGAGCTAAAGAGAGAGAGAGCGAGATAAGAGAGAGAGAGAGAGAGCGAGATAAAGAGAGGCTAGAAGAGAGAGAGAGCGAAGATAAAGAGCTAAAGAGAGAGAGAGCGAGTAAGATAAAGAGCTAAAGAGAGAAGAAGCGAGATAAAGCTAAAGAGAGAGAGAGCGAGATAAAGAAGAATAAGAGAGAGAGAGAGAGAGAGAGACGAGATAAAGAAAGAGAGAGAGAGATAGAAAAGAGCTAAAGAGAAGCGAGAGCGAGATAAAGAGCTAAAGAGAGAGAGAGAGAGCTAAAGAGAGAGAGAGAGAGCTAAAGAGTGAGAGAGAGAGAGAGCTAAAGAGTGAGAGAGAGAGCTAAAGAGAGAGAGAGCTAAGAGAGAGAGAGATAAAGAGAGAGAGAGATAGAAGAGCTAAAGAGAGAGAAAGAGAGAGAGAGAGAGAAAGAGAGATAAGAGAGAGAGAGAGAATAAGAGAGAAAGAGAGAAGAGAGAGAGAGGAGAGAGAGGAGAGAGCTAAAGAGAGAGAGAGAGCTAAAGAGAGAGAGAGAGAGTAAAGAGAGAGAGAGAGCGTAAAGAGAGAGAGAGAGAGCTAAAGAGAGAGAGAGAGCTAAGAGAGAGAGAGAGAAAGAGAGAGAGAGAAAGAGAGAGAGAGAGCTAAAGAGAGCTAAAGAGCTATAAAGAGATAAAAGAGATAAAGAGAGATAAAGAAGAAAAGAGAGAGAGAGAGCGAGATAAAGAGCTAAAGAGAGAGAGAGCGAGATAAAGAGCTAAAGAGAGAGAGAGAGCGAGATAAAGAGCTAAAGAGAGAGAGAGCGAGATAAAGAGCTAAAGAGAGAGAGAGCGAGATAAAGAGCTAAAGAGAGAGAGCGAGATAAAGAGCTAAAGAGAGAGAGAGCGAGATAAAGAGCTAAAGAGAGAGAGAGCGAGATAAAGAGAGAGAGAGAGAGCTAAAGAGAGAGAGAGCGAGATAAAGAGCTAAAGAGAGAAGAGCGAGATAAAGAGCTAAAAGAGAGAGAGAGCGAGATAAAGAGCTAAAGAGAGAGAGAGCGAGATAAAGAGCTAAAGAGAGAGAGCGAGATAAAGAGAGCTAAAGAGAGAGAGAGAGCGAGATAAAGAACTAAAGCGAGATAAGAGAGCTAAAGAGAGAGAGAGCGAGATAAAGACTAAAGAGAGAGAGAGCGAGATAAAGAGCTAAAGAGAGAGAGAGCGAGATAAGAGAAAGCTAAAGAGATAAAGAGCTAAAGAGAGAGAGAGCGAGATAAAGAGAGAGAGAGCGAGATAAAGAGCTAAAGAGAGAGAGAGCGAGATAAAGAGCTAAAGAGAGAGAGAGCGAGATAAAGAGCGAAGCGAGAGCGAGATAAAGAGCTAAAGAGAGAGAGAGAGAGGTAAAGAGAGAGAGAGAGAGCTAAAGAGAGAGAGAGAGCTAAAGAGAGAGAGAGAGAGAGAGAAAGAGTGAGAGAGAGAGAGAAAGAGTGAGAGAGAGAAAGAGAGAGAGAGAGATAAAGAGAGAGAAAGAGAGAGAGAGGAGAGGGAAAAGAGAGAGAAAGAGAGAGATAAAGAGAGAGAAAGAGAGATAAAGAGAAGAGAGAGAGAGAGAGAGAGAAGATAGAGAGCTAAGAGAGAAAGCTAGAGAGAGAGAGCTTAAAGAGAGAGAGAGAGGCTAAAGAGAGAGAGCTAAAGAGAGAGAGCTAAAGAGACTAAAGAGAGCTAAAAGAGCTAGAGAGCTAAAAGAGAAAGATAAGATAAAAAGAGATAAAGAGAGATAAAGAGAGATAAAAGAGAGAGAAAGAGAGAGACAGAAAGATAGACGGCCTTCTACCATCATTACACGCCGAAAACCAATGTATTCATTAACCCTTTCCCGCAACAGTATTAAATCGCTGTGTGAAAATGAAGCTATCCATTTGGCTATAAACACTATAGACTGGTTCCCATTTTCAATAGTCAAAGTCATCGACAGTCATTCTTGCGCCATAAACACGATATATATATATTTTTTCTTATTTGTAATGGAGGCTCTGATCTTAAATGAATGTGACCTAACCTTAACGCTCTAAATTATTTTCATATTTAATACTGATTTATCATGGTTATTACCTTCATTACCATCTTCACGCGTTCCTCAGATAACCTGACCATTAACTGATTTGGTAGGAAAACGGCTAAGGATCAAGATATAGGGAAAAAAACACCGTATTTACACCTTAACGAGCTATGCCTATATGTCTGTCTTGTCGGGGCTTACCTGAATATACGCTGGCATCTCTTCCGATATTTCTTCCGTAGCAACTTCGTATCCGTAATGCTCCTCAAGTACTTCTTCAGGATTGTAATACTTTATGTCGAATTGGACGTCTTGCTGTGCAGGTGAAATGTGTTGTTGGTGATCCTGTCCTAAATCTGCCGAAGCACCATAAATGATATATATAAAATAGAAACATACACCCTTAATAAACATAGTTATAGATATCGGAGATTTTTTTTTTAGAGAAACAACGGTTACTCTAAGGAACGGAACACACGAAACTCGAAAAGGAACTGAA